CCCCAAAACCCCAAAACCCCAAAACCCCAACTCTAGCATAAAGTATTGAATTAATCTCAGAGGTATAATAATGGCATTATCTAAACTCCAGAAAATGAGAATTTGTCTTTAGATATTGTTTAGATTTTCTCCATTAGTAAGAGTTATCTCGAAAGTGTACATATTACTCATTACAAGTCTTCTAGAGGAAATTTTACATATGGATGGCTTAAACTACAAGTGATTCTTTTAGTTGTTAAAAATTTTCAAGTTAGCATTTAAGGAGGATTCATTATTATACCATTTAGTGCTATCAATAAAATAAAAAGAGAAATTTAGGGTAAATTTAAACTCTAGTAAGTATCTCAACTCTCATAATTTGGCATTCTAAGAAGATTTCCTGAGCTACATGTTGCTCGATCATACAATTTCTGATTTTAACCGTGTCAAGACTTGATTTAAAATCCGGAGAGGTAGCCAATCCTTGTATCAGATTCTTAAATTCATCAAGGTTATTTCCCCAATCGCTCCATGAAGGTTGTCCTGATCCATCCAAGATAAGCTTCTTGATCTTTGAATTCTCAAGTGCGTTTGAGAAATCAGGAACTGTTGGAACTGATAGCTTGCACGCTTCCAAACTCAAAATTCGTACATGCTTATAAGCTGGAATGAGTCTCTTAAGTTGGCTGTTTGTGAATCAGAATTCATAAAACAAAGCATTATTTGAGAACTTTGGAACTCAGCCTGATTACTGAGTTAAAGCATTTTAATGGCTTCATTATAATCTTATCTTGCAAAGTAAAAACAATATCATTAACATTGTTTGGGAATGAGAAATCCATAAATCTCATAGTAAGCTTATTTAAGGGATTAAAATTAAGGAGCATGAATGAGTTAATATCAAAGAATTTTAAATATCTTAATTTTTGTATAAATGTTAAATATCTTCCTTTTTTAAAGCGACAGTAAAATCAACCAAAATTAAAACTTTCTCCAGAGTTGGGATCCAGTGGAGTCTCATACATTATCTCTCCAAAGATATTATAGTGCACACTACATCAATGCTTATAATCTTGCTTCTTTTCCTTTGAAAATAAAGATCTCTCTAGACTAAGCCATTAAAAGCTAGCAATCATCTGTTAAGCACTGTCAGAATTTATCCGCAAGCCCTAGAGTCCTCTAACTCCCCTTCCAATGCCCAAACCCAGCCCCATCACCCCATCTCAGCACCTAGCACTCCAAGTGAACCCCCCTTCTTCCCCACTCACGCTCTATTTCTTCCTTTTCTCTTCCTATCCCAGTCACCTATCTTCTCCATTTTTCTTAAAAAAATAATATAAATGTTAACTTTTATATGTAAATTTTAGGCTTGGGGTTTTGGGGTTTTGGGGTTTTGGGG